GTACTCCACCTTATCTTCTGTAAGCTTACCAGAGACTGAAATGTAACACTTTTTTTATTTGTATTTTATAAAATATATATATATATCTCTTTTTTTTAATATCGAACATGTCTGTGAATACGTTAATAAAATTTTTCGCATGAACCGCTGAAACAAATGAGCAGATTTTTTGAAAATAAGTGTATCTTGCCCTAATTTAACCCTGATTAGATTTATTTTTATTTGCATACTATTCTTTAAAAAAAATATTTATCACATTCAATGATTTACAAAAAACACGGAGTAAAATTTCTTTAAACCGTCAGATTAAGAAAATCTCTCCGAATATTAGTCAGATTATGGATCAGCATGACCAGGTCATTAAGCTGAACCGCCTGTATGAAAATCTGACGCGCTCGAGTATTTCCAGATGGCGATTTTTTTGAATTTCCAAAAACCGTCACGAGCTTGCGTCGCGTCCGAATCGTCAGACATTTGGATCTGAGCTTCGATTAGGCTCACTTAACATCCCCTCTGAATATCTGACGCGCTCGAGTAATTTTTTTCCCCATTTTCAATCCATTCGTTCGGCTAGTCTCACCATGCAAACCGGCAGATTAACATTATTCCGTCTTCAGAGACACAAGGGGCATATACAATATCAATATCTGACGCGCTCGAGTATATCCATGTGTCTATTTTTTTTTACATTTTTGAAAGCTTCTAGACGCTTATCCACCGGTGAATCTTTTAACATCATCATTTAACCTTTTTTCTTTCAACCATCTGATCCTCTAAATTCAATAGGTCTCGACGACGCTCGAGTAAATCCCCATTTAGCATCGTGGGCTCCCCTACTATTCGGTATAATCAAAGGTTAGGTTAGGTTAGGTTAAGGGAGATAAATAAATAAAATCAAATATAAAAATACTTTATAGAATGCTTTACATTTCAATCCGTGTTTGTGCGTAAATTCATTAATAAAAATCTTACATTAAAACTTCGAACTTTCCGTAATTTAAAGTCAGTCATCAAAGCACCCACGATCCCAGATGTTTTATTTGTATTTTACTGGAATGACGATAAATGTAGGTACTTTGCCCTGCTGTTACAGCCGGTTGTCAACCATCAACCGGATTTCGTGACTCGCCCGGTTTCATGTCACTCCGCAACAATTTCACCATAGGCGCAAATACAAATCACATAAAACAGTGACATTCGGTAAAATAAAATCTCACTTTCGAATTCGATTGCTGCCAAGTAAGACATAAGTATGATGTGCAATACGCTATTACATGAAAAATGTCGGATTGACTGTTGATACAGCCAATAATAGATGACAACGATTTTCAAAATTCCGAATAAATGAGAACCAATATCCAATTCGAATAGTTCGCTAGTGCGAAATTTCATTGTGGAATTTTGTATGGAAACTTAAACAGCAGCGCCACAACGAACGTAACAAGAACTAAAAATTAGTACACATTTGACGTATAAAATAGATCTTATTTAACAATTCGAATTCGATAATGGTTCGTGCTAAAGTTACTGCAGTGGTATTCTGTAAGAACAAAATCACTTTTCAGCACGAAATCCGCGGAGGGAATTGAAATTATATACTAATTTCAAATCACACGCGGACTCCTCGGTGAAAAGTGAGTTTGTTCTTATACAATAGCACACAGCAGTAAAGAAACGCGGACTGTACGTTTACTAACTCATGTGATAGCATGGACGGCAGTTCGTTTTTCCTGCACTCAGAAACGTCAATTAACTTTAATGCTCCACACGATTCGGTACGGTTTCCTATCATACTATTATTGTCGTTTAAAAGCGACAACAACCACTTTAAACATTTTCTAGTGTTAAAAAAATATTTACGTATGAAAATCTAGCAGGTATTTGACCCAATGAAAATACAGGTAACTAATTAAACTTTAAAGTTAATTGACATTTTCGAGTAGGTAAGCGTAAGCCGTGGAAGTGGGTGTATCGGAAGTTAGCAGTACTATAAACCGAAGTAAAATGTTCATCACTTAAAACATTGCTTTTACAGCCGCACTCACGGACTTCAATTTAATTTAAAGGTTGGCAAGGTGACGGATTGTCTTAACCTATTGTTATGGCGAAGAAAACGATCGGAAATAAACTTTCGAACTTACAAATTTTATTGACGACAGTCAGTGAGCAAGGTCGCGGTGGCCCGTCGCCCCTGGGCCACTGGGCCTGCCCCGCCTTAAATCCAGCAGCATTAGCATAATATTTCCTGATAACTATATTATGATACACTATGGGTACGGCCAGAGTGCACTCAGATTCAGATTCAGATTCCGAAAACAAGCGCGAGAAATAAACAATGTAGTTAAAGCAGGGTGGCCATAGTGGCCGCAGGCAACCTGCTTAAACTACACTGTATATTTCTCGCGCTTGTTTTCTGAGTCTGAATCTGAATCTGAGTGCACTCTGGCCGTACCCTATCGACTGGGAAAGTTTTGCACTCCGTAGTTATTCACTGTACATTATCTAAGAATTTAGAGGTCCTAGGGGCCGTTTCAAGTATTACGTAAGCACTATAGGGGGGCAGGGGGGTCTTTGCTTTGCTCATTTTTGATGACATGGGGGGGGGGGGGTCTAAATAGTGATTACGTCAGCATCATGGATTCGGGTGTCATGGACTGAAGACTGTTAATTGTAATTAATATTATGTATAAGTACCAAAAATTCGAAAGAAGTTGGTTTTGTTCCTAATAGTACTTAATAAGATTATAATATTTGTACCTTACTATATGTTGAATACTGTGTCAATAAAGTTTGTTTATATGAATATTATGTGCGTTAAATTTCTCTATCCTAAGCCTATTTAAGTACTGCTGCTCATGAAGCTCATGAATCAATAAAAAAAAGAATACATTCAAGGAAAAATGCATATAGGTACCAATGTTTACGTAAGCATGGAAGGGTGGGGTAAGAGTTTTGCTTACTTTTGCTGACAAGGAGGAGGAGGGGGTAAATAATTGTAACAAATCTGCTTACGTAAAACTTGAACAGCCCCCCCCCCCCCCCCCCCTACAGTCGAAGTCCCACTTTCAATCGAAAAAAGCTCAAACTCGATAATGGATGGATTTCTATAAACTACTTAATATTGAGATCGATCGCAAGCTATTATCACCTTCAAAGTCGAAGACTGTACCTTTCCCGCCTGCCGCCGTCTTTTTGTTTCTGGCCCGCTTATTTATAAACAAATGACACTTTGTGTAAGGGGCCGTCCATTAATCACGTGATGTTTATTTTGGCATTTTTTTACCCCCCCTTGGTGATACATGGTGAGGTATAACACTAACCCATCCCCCCCATTACATATCACGTGTATTTCGTAGTACCTATAAAGAATCTTATTTTTTTTAATATTTATAAAATACAGGTACATATAAGTATTATCTAATTTCATTAAAGAAAATTAAAGACTACAATAAAAACGTTTAGAGGTAGACAGAAAGGTTGTAGGTTATTTTTGACTGACATAAAAGTTATGAAAGAAATGCGAAAAGCTTTTCTGTACTAGTACATGAACATTATTTAATGTACGGTATCCTCGTAACACGGAAGTACACGTGATATATTACTAACACAGAATACAGCGGACGGCAATAGGTTTTAAACAAGTCTAACTTTAGTCTACGTTTTGTAAAAAGGGATTAAGAGTTATAACGCGAAGTAATTAGAGTTAAGGGTCTCCAGCGCGTGTTTTGCCCTACACAAACAGCAAAAACATATCAACATTTAACAAACCCGTCTACACAAAACTTCGTTTCAGTACACATATTTGTTTTCATCAACAAAGTTTTTGCTTTGCGAATCTGACGGGAAGCACGTCCCACGGGTGGGGAGCCAGGGTATTGTTTCCTCGGCCATTTTTTTAACAACTTCATAGCGCTCCAAACCTACGCTTCGAGTACAACTTTTCACAATGACATTTAAATTTTGACATAAAATTTATTAAACTTCAAATTTGACATTTTTGCAACGGGATCGTAGGTTTGGCACTCAGCCCTATGTATTTTGTATACGAAAACCACATGAGCAGTACCTTTAGCAAGAATCAATATCGAATTCGAATAGTTTACGAGTGCGAATAGTCATTGTCAAATGTGTACTGATTTTTAGTTCTCGTTACGTCCTTTATGGCGCTGCTGTTCAAGTTTCCATACAAAATATTTCGCATTCTAAGTGCTAAGTTTACACAGTAGACTGCGTATGTAAAGTTTCATGTTTCAGGAAAAAATTTTTGAGTATGTGTTTTAGTTGAATGTTTTCAAAAAACTTTAATCGGGATCACTCTCGTTTAATAGATTACATAGACTTTTGACGCATTTACTGCATCGATGTCACATAACAAAATATTCTTGGTAACAATTTTCTAATAAATAAATTAGGAGCAAAACCAGCTCCACGTAAAGCGGTATACAACTTCGCGTCTATAACTTCACATTTCATTTCACGACACTACATTACGTCATACTACAGATTTGCGTCAGAGCAGACAGACAGACAAAAAAGCGTCAGAGCAGGCAGACCGACAAACAGATTATTGATCCATGATGAAAACTAAGCAGCGCGTTTCGGATTCGGACGTAGAGCCGAGATGATATGCTGAGTCATCTTTGACAAAGCAGCTTAAAGCGTAGCGTAGTAGTTAGTATAAAGTTGAGTACGGTCCAACTTCGACTTTGATTGGACGCCAACATCAAAGTACGCTGTTATTACTGTTTTACGTGATCAAAGTAGTGTAAAAGTAGTTATCAAAAAAAGCTTTTATGACAAAGCAGACTTTGAGCATGTCAACGCGGCTTTAGATAAATCGTCGTGGCTGGAGGCGGGTATCACTATGTATATATTTGGGTGACATATTTGGCTAACAAGTTTCAACTTGTTAACAGTTTTGCACCGGCCGTTTTGTGTGAGATGGGAGATACTTTCCCGGGCGGTCTTCTGTCCGGATTGGGGCGTTAACAGATCCGAAAGTCATTCCTTGGCACAACACAGTTCCTTCACATATAGACTGCTGCGTTTCGCCCCTCTAACCGCAGATGTCTCCACTCGTCGAATAAAACTCTGATGGATACTTCCGTGAGTGGATAGCTCTCGCGTCATTCCTTGGCACAACACAGTTCCTTAACACGTAGACTGCTCTGAAGGGGTGTGTTGCTGTAGCAATCAAACCCTTCCTATACAACGCCTGTTCTCTTAAAGTTTGAACTTTTTCGTCGTCCATCCTATCCTAACTTACATAGTTCTTTAGAGTAGATAGGCCACGACATGACGATGTTCAGGATACATCCATTTCAAGAGTACGGGCTTGGGTATATAGCGTCATTCGTCGGCACAATACAGTTCGTTTACACCATAAACATAGAGAATGGACTGAGCGACACACACATGAAATTGACAACTCCCTAGAAACGGACGGGTTATAAATACCCTAACAAACATCTACAGCATAAACCATAAATAAAGAAGCTTGCGCAGTCGCAATTTTAGGTACATAAGCCAATTGATTGAAGAATTGAAGATTGAAAGAAAGAATTGAACTGAAGAGATTTGTCGCTAGCTACACTTCGCAGTGGTGAACGGACAATCCGTCCTCCATGAGTACGCGTTAAGGTGGGGCATTCTCGTTGAAACAGTCGAACAGACAGTTGATCGAATCACGGTTCGATAAGTATTTCAACGGACCGGTGACGTGACCTTGGTCGTTCAGTCCGTTCTACGACCAATCTATTCACGATCGAACTTGTCGCGTGCGACCGCGGTAATGCTGCGCGCATAAGAAAAGCATCTACTGCGCAAGTTCCTTCTGTCTATGGTTTTACTGGAGAGATTTGTTGCTAGCCACACCTCGCAGTGGTGAACGGTCAGTCCGCCCTCGCATGTGTACGCGTTAGACGTAGACCTCGCCCCGCTTGGAGGGGTCTGGCGGTCGCGGCGAGTCATTCTCGTCGACGGCGACGGCGGTGGAGCGGTCCGCGCGGGGCGTCGGCGGTGTGGCAGGCGCGTGGAGGGCGCGCGGCGTGCCCGGCGCCGAGGACGCGGCGCGCGCGAGCGTCGCGGGTGACAAGGTCACAGGCGAGCCGCCGCCCAGCACCGACGGCGCTAGTACCGCCTGCGCCAGTGCCGCCGTACCCGGCTGGCCCGCGTGCAGGGTATTGTTCACGGAGCCGCTGTCTAGCTCCTGCAATTCGATTCAATTTCTTTATTCAAATAGGTAACTTAATACAACTCTTGATACGTCCATATTCTTTTCACGAGGTACGGGTGTACCACGGACAGGTTGCAAATGGAAAAATCCATGAAAGATGAATATATATGATGATGATGATGAATATTCATATAAAATTTCACGAAAATCGGTTGAGCCGTTTCTGAGTAGTTCAATTACACACCCCAATATAAATACAAATACAAGTGCTTTATTTCCATATCTTATTATTACATTATATATAACTAATAAATATGAATAGGAAATAAGAATAGGCACAGCGCAGCTGGTTTTAAGCCTACCCATCGTCAATTTTTTTGTGGTTAGTTATATAAACAATTCAATTATTAATAGCCAATTAAATGTTAAATACATTAATTACAATGTCAATTTATTTAGTTGTCATTCAAAGCTCAGTCAATTCAATGTTAAGATATATTTAAAATGACATTTTTTTACTAGTCACACCGTGACACGAGAATTTTATATATTAGTAATAATATATGTTTTAGTTACAAGGAGTGTGTTGAAAAGCGATACTATTGAACCACTATTGAGACACGATTTTTGATTCAAACGACTGCAGATGCAGCCGGGACCAACGTTTTAGCACAACGTAGCCTTCCGAAACACGGAGAAGCTCGAGAGTAGTATGTGGGTTTGGTTATCCATTCTACGACTGGTCATTGGGAAAGTTGAATGGCAACAGACCGAAAACAATAACTGCGCCATCGGCACTCTTCTAATTCGACTCATACACTTAATTAATTATATGTAATATATAAATGAGAGTAATCAATTGTGATCGTTTATTACTTCGATTAAGACAGTAGGATAACACTTCTTATACCGGAAAATTGGTTATTTCCTATGATATTCTCAAAAAAAATCACAGGGCTTATCGGCCCATTTGAGGACACACATTAGAACACAGCAACAGTGTTCCAAGTGGAGTGATAACGTACCTGTATCGGCGATAGCACCAGCGCCCCAAGAACGGGCACCTCGCTCTGGTATCCCTGCGCCATGATAACGCCCATGTTCTGCATGCCCATTGCGAGCCGATCGCGCTCCAATACCGCTTCTTTAGCCACATCGGGCGTCGGTATCCGTGGCCTGTTGCGTAGCGTTATAGGCACTGCCACGCCGTTGCTTTTACCCCCACCTGGATATCAATTAAGCGATCAGTCTACATCAGTAATAACAAGACAGAATGAACAGAAGGTACCCTATGCATGAACAACTAGTGAGAAAATATTCGTAAAGCACTCCTTCACTTTCTTCTACACTCGCGAGCAAAAGTCTGGAATCACTTACTTGAAATTGGTTCTGCGCGATCTTGTGTACTATTTTTTTTAATAATCGTAAAAACGACATCTTTTAAAAGGTTTAACTCTTAACTTTAAGCTTATACCGAATTCATTAAAATTAACACTTTGCCAGCAGATCGTATCAATAAGACACGTGCGGGCGGTTTTAATCTCACTCGCGTGTCTCGAATAGGATACGTGATGCATTTTCTTTTTCTTCATAAATCTCGTATCCTGTCCGAGATCTGCGACGAGGAGGCGGTCTAACTTCGGACCGGTACATTTCCGATGTTCTGTTCCAACATGTCGTTTCCTATGCGGGATATATGGGCGATAACTTCCTCCTTATGCACGATAACGCTCGTTGTCACACTGCCCATGTAACAAGCGAATACCTCGAAGAAGTCAGTGTCGCCACATTGGACTGACCAGCGCTTAGCCCTGACTTGAATCCCATTGAGCACGTGTGGGATGAACTGAAGAGAAAGGTTCATTCCAGAACTCCTGCTCCTACATGTCTGAATGAGCTGAAATCGGCGTTGATTAAGGAGTGGGAAGGTTTCCCACAAGAATCAATTCAGAAGCTGATCAGGTCTATGAAGAATCGTCTCCGAGCAGTTATTAGGGCGAGGGGAGGGAACACAAAATACTGACACTTATTTTAAAGGCTTTTATTTTTTAATATTTTTTTTGTTGTTTTATTCATTCATTATTTTTCCATATTTCCTTGTTTTCCTACCTCTTCACTTAATCCGGGATAGCTTCTTAACTACTGGCTCGATTTGAATGAATTTATAGTTGACAGTTGAACCTTTAAAATGATGTCATTTTTATGATAATTAAATTTTTTTTTAGTAAGCGAAATCGCGCGGAATCTGTTTCATGTAAGTGATTCTGTGATTGTTGGTTGTTCGTGTTTGGTGTACTGAGCATCCGATGGGCTTAGAGATATTGGCGGCACTACGGCTCTCTCTCTTTCTAGCTTCGAGACGAGAAATCTAAGTGAAAGGTATTTTAATTTGTGATATGACTTTACAGACCACCACATTAAAATTATACTACCTTCATACCTTGTGATAACGTTGTGCTGTTGGGTTCGGGTGATTGGGCGCCATTTTATATATCATGATTGTAAAATAAAGCTTATTTACTCTTAAAATATTCTCTGTTGTGCATCCCGACTTGCGGCCCTCGAGATGTGTCTGCACTGTTATAACGAGTAACTGCGTATGCCTGATTATAACGAACCGTGCCAAGAGTTCTGCAGGTGCAATATAACAACGAACTATGCCGCGAGTTCTGCCGACGCTGGTGGCGGCATGACTTGCGGCCCACGAGGCGATCGTAGAGCGACATCTTGTGATGGAGGTGCGAGTTGTGTATGCGCTGTAATAACGAGTAGCTACATATGCACTATAACAACGAACCGTGCCATGAATTCTGCCGCTGCTGGTGGCGGCATGACTCGCGGCCCACAAGGCGGTCGTACAGCTACATCTTGTGGTGGTGGCGGTGCGAGTTGTGTATGCGCTGTAATAACGAGTAGCTACATATGCACTATAACAACGAACCGTGCCGTGAGTTCTGTCGGTGCTGGTGGCGCCCCGACTTGCGGCCCACGAGGCGGTCGTACAGCGACATCTTGTGGGGGTGTTGTGAGGGCGGTGCCCCAGCCTCCGGGCTCGAGTAAACCGCCGACGCGCGCCGGCCGCGCCCGAACAGGCCCCCCGACGAGTACGCCGTCGAAGCGGACCGAACCGACCCCATTCTTGATATCTGTCTCTGAAACCAGTTTTTGCGTCGTTCTACCAATGGTGTATCTACACTCTCCTGAAAGCACGGGAAAAGGTTAGTCGTTAGGTTATCTCGTCAGCACGTTTGATTAATGAATTGTGTAAGTACCTATGGGCGGGATTGCGTGCCGTAACTGCGATCCGGGTGCAACCTTTCATTGTGGCTTTTAATTTTGACTTAAAATATGTGTATCTAATGTCAAATTGATTTAAGTCGCACCCGGAGTGTAGATACGGAACGAAACCCTGTCCCCATAATAATAAAAGACGAATAAGCTTGGATTAGTTATTCTATGTTTTGTCTCTGTTCATTGAATTACAAATGGTACTTGAGTGATATAAACAAAACACGGCGTAACGAGTCTAAGCCTTATCCTCGTTTGTTAATAAGAGGGTTTGTCCGTCGGAAGCGCAAGTTAAATTGGAAATAAAATACTAGCAGAGTTAAGCAAAGCGAAATTAATATTCATAGCAAATTACTTGACTTTTGAAACACGACGCCACGCGACTCGTATTTTCTATGATCAGTGTGTGCGCATCGCGTTGCGTCGGATGTTCCTCAAGTGATTCTGAATATAGAAAATAGTTGGTACATTTGATTTTACTCAATCGCGTGGCGTCGGATGGCGTCATGTAGCAAGTCTGTTTTGGCCTTTATGAAAGATCACAAATTCATCACATGTCTGAGTCGATCGAATGTCCCTTTGCTCACATTGCCACTGTGCTTAAAAAGCGAATTCCGTATTTGGACATGCAATTTTTCTCTAGCGTGCGTCTCGATAATAGTTATTAGCTATTAACATAAAATATTACATCTATTTTATATGGTGCATTGAAAGCGAAACCTTATTAAGGACTTAATTATCGACTAGCCATAGATTAGCCATAAGAACTTTTCCGAAGAACTTTATGCGCTTGTAATAACCGCTCTTAGAGACACCTTTTCTCCTCTTTTAAGAAACTAGCATAGAACTACAACTCATATTTGAAAACATTACATATGATTGACATCTTTCAATTTCGGCCATGAGTGTCTCAATCTTACTATTAAATTATCTATTCTTTTAGACTCAATAAAACATAGTGTCGATAAGTAAAAAAAATAATATATATTAATCGACACAATAAATTACCCAGGACTTCTATCGATTTAGTATTAAGTACTTTTCCATGTCAATCAATCCATGTCAGTAAATCAAGCACTTAAATTACTAGCATAATATTTTTATTGGAACATAACACTAAACAAGTATCAAAGCGAAAATATATTTGATGCGTATGTAAATTTTCCGCGCTATTTATTTATTTGATCACCAACAAAGTCACACTTAGACATTTCTTATTTACACATTTATAGTAGGACACTTTATTAGTGGAACTTTAATTATAGGCGATTACGACATGCAATTTACACTTAACTAGCAATTAAATCTTATAAAATTTTGATAATTACATTAATTTCAATACAAAACAATTATAAATAAAAATAAAATTTTAAATTGTCAATAATTGAAGAAATTTTAAATTTAGGAAAAATAAATTAATGAAAATAAATCTATGAAAAATAAATTAATGAAAAAACTATGTGGGCACAACCAAACATAAAGATTTTATTCTCTCCAGTGTATCCGCGAAGATGTCCATATCGGTCGACTTTGACAGTTAATTGTACTGAGAGAGCATTCTATTTATAGGAGAAAATAAGCCTAGGTTCGTTCTGGAGCTTCTCGTCGCAAACAAATTATATCTTGACCCTCCTGGCAGTTTTAAGGGGATATTAAAATATACTCTTGAGAGCAAATCGGGATAGTCTATGTTAGGTACCAGTTTAATAATACTTTATTAAATACTAATTTATAAGCAAATTTACAAATACGAAGTGACTCGAACTCGCGTGCTATAAATCGGCATGACAAAGAAGAGCTGGAGCATATAGTTAAATGTTCATGTTAATATAAGTAACTAGCAAACCAGTGAACCAAATGTTCACCAAAACCTGATAAAAAAAAACTGTATTTAATTAATTGAGAACTTCGGAGATTTTGTGTGGTTTCGTTTGAAATTCGTGATTTCTCAAAAACCGGAAGTGCTACGATACTCAAATCCGGTTTGGCCGCTGAAACAGCACCATAGACGGACGGACGGACTTGTCTAATAGATAAGAGATAAGTGTAGCACAGAATTAGCTAACACAGAAGGCAATTAATTTACACGTATAAGGATCTCGATTATGTTTAGCTGACCGTTAGAAATGCGTGATTCAAACAGAGCGTTTTGCTCATCTCAGCTAGTGAAAAATGCAATACTATTAATTTTTTTATTTCAAACGTTAACATTGAGATTGAGGTATTTGGAGCCTGTTTCTAAACAAAGGATTACTTGTATCAGGAGTGTGTACACATGATACACATCTCAATCTTAAATGAAATATTTCGAAAAAAATATTATTTACTTTCGAGCTGTCCTTCTTTCCGTATACTTTGTGGGTAAAATTTGCTAGGCTAATGTTTACTTACATAATCCGCGTAGGTTTCATCGTGGCTCTTCCTCGGGGCCTGCACGTTCGCGTACACGGCGTCTTCGGCCTTCACCTTGTAATGGTCCGCAGAACAGGCGGGCTCGTGCCGCCTGTAGTGCTCCGAGGCGACGGTGTATGGCAAGTCTTTGGGCACCACCTCCTCCCAGTACTGGTCCTTCAGTAACTCGGGGTGCTCTTCGTGCATCTCATCGACGATCATGTACGCTGCCTAATGAGTATTCAAAAAAAATATATAAAAAAATACTTTATTCAAATTAGATTTTTATTAATTTTATTTTTAGAATAGAAACTATCCCATCGCCTTTCCCGGGTTTCATAACAAAGGACATTGTTCAGCGTCCATACATAGTTAGCCTAAGAACCAACAATCATGAAATATTATTTTCTAGGTTCAAAATCGTAAGTAAATGACTGTAAAAACAAAGATTATTGACGGACACTTCTGAGAACTTAAATTATTAGGAAAACTAAAATTTCTTTTGAGGTTATGTTTAATATTTAATGAAACATAGTTCAACCTATGAATTTAGTATGAAATCAGTATGAAGTGAATTAATATTACAACTAATTAATTTTATTCGGTGCGATTTTAAAGAATAACTATTAGGAAAAACTTGGTCAGGTAGGAATCATGAATAAAATAAAAACTGTAGTTTTGCTTCTTATTTATTGACTATTTTTCACATAATTGTATCATATTGTTTATTGTATTTATTATTTGTGTATCAGGTGTTCTTGAATAATTTGGCAGTATGATCCTCTCAGGATGTTATGGCACAGGTTCACTAGCACTTGGTAATATGGGCTCTGCTCTTTGGTAACATCGATGGCATATTAGATGCCGAACCGAAATAGTTAAATTAAAGGAAAAACAATCGCAAATAAACACACACAACAGGTAATCCGAAACGAGAATGCACTTTCCGGTATATTATAAACTACTCTTTGGAATGCACGAATGCCACAGATTACTACGAATGCAAACTGCATGCACCACAACCACAGAGTAACGATTTTTATGCCGGCCCTTCACTTGACAACAGTTTGTCCTTGTCATGCTTGATAAGGAATGAAAAGGACAGACTGATGTCATGTTTTAAGATAGCAAATACGAATAGCCAAGTGAAGTGCCGGCATTAGGAAGAAAGCGTGTTTTGTTTGCAGCGCTGCCATAGATTATACACATAAAATGGTATTTATTGTCTCATTTTATTTTTTAACTTTTTAATTTAGCTTACCTAACTGGAAGTGTCCGTCACAATCTAAATACTGATAATTATCGCAAAAAATATACTAATAATTATCATAAATGCCAAATTGGTGTTGGTTCTTAGGTCAATTTTAACATTGTTCTTTCATCTGTTCAGCGGTTAAATCGTGAAGAGGTTACAACAGACTAATATTATGGCGCAATTATACTTGGTCGTTAGCCCGAATACGATTTATGGAATTTGGACAAACGACTAAGTGTAAATGATCGGAGTCCAGTACGCTCTGTTTCTGTAAATTTTAAATGAAAAGTATGAGATAGGGCATAGCGGGTTTTTTGCTCGAATTCGAGAGCCGGACTAAAGAAGCAACCTCCACCTTACGGAGATCGCAGCAATAAAATAACACAACATTATGCTACCGCGGCCCTAATGGCTGTGTCGAATTTTTACTGGCCAGATAGCGGAGGGTGCGGATTCGAGTCCCGTCTGCTGCCTGAACGGCGTGGATTTTTCCTAGTAGAATTTTGCATCTAGCTGTTAAATGATTAAAAAAAATATGCCGCTGGTGTGTATGGTTCTAGGGCTCCGCGATTTAGGGAATTGCATACAGGCCAGCATGGTGAGGATGGCTGGAGCAACACACCTTCTGCCACATCATCTATCTTCGCGACTCGACTCCACTTACACTTAACATCAGGTGGGGTGAGATAATTTGTTACGCTACACATAAAAAGAAAAAGAAATGTTTCGCTTACCTTGATGTGCCTGTCGATGAGCCAGTTAAGTTCTATGTCATCATCGTCCTCTCCGAACGGGTTGATGAGCACCTCGGCCACCTTCAGCCAACCCACGTAGAAGCAGAACTGAAACCGAAACCAACTATACTGATGACAAGTGAATCAATACTTAATATATTAATGAACTTGATGAATAGCGCGTTCTGCCTGCGATCGTAGAAGTTAAGCAACTTTTGCAGTGGCCTGTCATATGATGGGTGCCCAAAATTTATCATCTCGAGCTCCTCCATGCTTCGGGAGGCACGTCAAGCCGTTGGTCCCGGCTGCATCTGCAGTCGTTTGCACCCACCAATCCGCCAATGTCATGGCTCAAACTCCCTATTTCATCCATGGGGAAGGACTGTGTCTCAGCAGTGGGGACATTACTAGGCTATTAATAATGATAATCTTTACTAATACTATAGAGAAGAAAGATTTGTTTGTAACTAAACACAAAATGTATTTCTTAAAGTGGGTGAGTGCACTCCACGAAACAGAACGTCTACAACCACGATCGCAGTATCCCATAACTTTTAACTAAGTACCAATAAGCCGCAGGCCAGACATACCATCGTATTAAGCTAATTGTGGCGCCACATTTGAAACGCGACGTTAAATGTGTCTCTCTTTTATCTGCGTGTAAGCACGCACACCAAGGACACATTTGTAGTGGGTGAATTTAGTAGCGAGACGAAAGCAAATAGTAGCGTGCATATTGTGGCAAGGTAAATGTTGCGTGTGTGTATCTTGTGACTCCGGAGTGCGGCCTCACTAAGTGTAATGAAACAACCAATAAAAGTACTACATTTCCAATTAAAACTATGACCCACCACTTTAAAAAAAAATATTAACAATCCCATTATTTTATAAATTATTAATTTTGTAGCTATTTGTAGTTGTATGTTTTACACTTTTCATTAGACTCAATGATAAGGTACTTAAAATAACTGCTTAACATTAGTTGTGATATTTTACTCAGCAAAAAACAAAATAAAATTATAGACAAGAGACGAGTTTTAGTTAATATTAAATATTTTTTTAGTTAATATAAATTAATAGGGCTTGTTATTGTGGACATAAAGCCAATTTGGGGCTTTTCCGCCCAATTACGTGCTTAAGGTAGGCGTGAGCTGTGCCCCAGCAAAAAAGAAATTAATATGCTGATGATTAATATAGTTTTATTGTTGGATAAATAAATAAAGCACAGGTTCAAATGGGAATCCTATTTAACAGGAAACTGAGCAAAACGAGATCCCTGCGGTTCCGCTTATTAGGTACCCTTAGCACGAACCAATATCGAATTTGTTACAATTTCGAGTTGCGAGTGCTAATGGTCATCGATAAATTTTGTATGGAATATAAACAGCGCCACAACGGACGTAACGAGAAAAAAAACGTCATAAGTATTAATAAAAATCATTCTTGATATTTGACGCGTATTAAGATCGAATTGAAATACATATTCGAATTCGATAATGGTTCGTACTAAGAGTAGGTACATGACCTCTCGTAGTGCGGGATTGGGAGCAATTCGCCTAACGGGATTGCTATGGCCGTCTTATTGCTTTCGATTTGATAATGTTTTGTTGGCATTTGAATAACCTTCGGCGGTTAGGTTAGGCAATCAACCATAGCAATCCCTTTATGCCATAGGACCCCAGGTCGGATAATTTCTGAATTTGAATAGTGTGCTTTGAACACAGTGTTGAAAAAACCTGTGGCTGACCTGTAGCGCAGTGAAGAGCGGGAAGTAGACATCGGGTTCGTACTTGGAGGTGGAGCCGGGCGCGGCGGGCACCAGCTGCCGGCCCATGAGTGCCGCCACGAAATACGTGTACAGTGCGAGCGTCACCACCTGACAATTAATAAATATATCAACATTCGGAACACTTACATGCGCCAAAGTAAGCACGGCCATACTCTCAGCCTCTTTTTTTCTTGTCTAGAAAAAAAGAAAGAAATTCGGATACTAAGTACAGCATAATGGAGAAAAATAAACACAAAAATACATGATAAAAGTATATTGATGGAAATAGGCATATATATATATATATATATATATAGGATGGAAGTATATTTTTTTCTAATTCATGGTTGCTTATATATATATATATATAAGCAACCATGAATTAGATACAAATGTTCGTATTCATTATACAAACATTTGCCTCGCCTTGATTCGAACCCGGAACCTCAGAGTGTACCTTGAAGTCACCTTGAAAACCGGTGTACATACTGCTCTCACCACGGAGGTCGTTCAATAATACCAGACTGTGTATCACACTAGACCGATCCAAGTATTTTGGCGGTTTATCTAGAAGCGATAGCAACTACGCAGGTTTCAATTGACATCGCGTCTGCATTGTTCTACATATCGGGTTGCGCTAACTTTACAGTCGCCATTCAGTTTGAATTGCACTCTATTACACTGAGAGAAGCTCGATCATGCAATTGATGGACGCGTTGGGTTCGTTGTGTTGGAACACGAAGTGTCGTAACTTATGAGCGCGCCGAGCCGTCGCAGCAGATGAATTGGACTGACACCAGATTGGTGGACTGACCGACTACATGGACATTAATAGGCCGATGATGGAGGTACCTGTGTATAGACGAGCGCGAGGCACAGTGTCGTAACCTACGAGCGTGCCGAGCCGCTGCAGCAGATTAACAGGACTGACACCAGGTGGGTGGAGTAACTGGCTGCGAGGACATTGATAGGCCGATGATGGTGATACCTGTGTATAGACGAGCGGGACGCACACAGTGTCGTAACCTATGAGCGCACCGAGCCGCCGACGGATGTCGGACAACTCAACCAGCAACGTCTGCACGATGTGGTCGCTGGATATGAGGCCCTCCTTGCGCGCGCGGTTGATGATGTTCGTTGCCCATACCAGCGGCATCCAGTACTTTGACATGGGACTCTTGCCGTCCATCTTCTCGAACACCTTCCGCTCGCTTTCCAGCATCAAACCTACAATAAGTATTTTCGAAAAACTTTAAAACTCGTTTATTCAGTCGACGCTGATGCTGTCACGAAAAGCTCGAGAATGTAGGGGTTTTCGTGTTCGGTTTGCAAATTTCGCATTGGCCGGTTTCTCCTTATCTGTATTAAAGGAGTTTTGTTTCTTTTTATCCTTAGATTAAAACAAAAAGGGTAGATTCGGTACGCTCATACTTGCATCAAACAAAAACTGATACCACGGCAGCGCGAACGGGACGGCGAGATCCGCGTCACTGCACTACCGACCGATCACGCGACCAGTACCCGACGTCACTACCGAATAAGATTCAAAACAGACAGCAATTTTTATGAAAAAATATATTTTATAGTACTTATGATGGAAAAGTGATGCCGTGGGTGTTATTTTAGGTTCTTGAGCAATTTGAGCACTTTTTAAAAACACACTTAGGCATTGTTTAATCATATAAACACAAAATATTAGCAATATTTCTTTTTGGCGTTCACATGTACGTCGTCTGCATGTGAAGTTGTGACTAAAGCGATTAGGGTCGTGGACCACAATTGGTGCGGATCACTTTTGTGAGGCTAGTGCCGTATCTACCCTTTTTGTTTTAATCTAAGTTTTTATCCAATAGTTTTTGTATGGATAAACAAACACAATAAAAATACATAGAAATAAATGTATTTTAATTGTGTTTGTTTATCCATTTTATTATCTCGAACTTCTCCGTGCAAAATACTTAAAGCTGTTATTTCTGAGTTCGTCTGATGTCGTTAGCTTCTATGAGGGGCCCGTGGATCGTACTCCGCTCTGCCTGATCCATCCATAGGGAAGTTCTTTGACTTTGACTTTGGAAGTTTTTTTTTATATATCAGTTGTCTGACAGGATTGAAAGCGATGGGACGTGTGCTATGTATCTACATAATAGCGAGTTGAATAAGATTATCAAGAAGATTTTATGCAAATTAAACAAACAAAAAGAATGCCTAGACGTTACTGGCTGCATGAAATAAATGAAAATATAATTATTACTTTTGGTGAATATCATGCTCTCATAGCATACAATCATGATCCAGATTTGTTTGGAGAAGATGAGAGATAGCATAATATATTTTCGAGTAACCAAAACACAATAAAAAATAAAAAAATTAAAACGACTGGCACGTGGCGTCGGACCTGAAAACACACTGCGCGCGCCACGTCGCCGTCGGGTGGCATGTCCCACCCGTTATTTTTTTTTGTGATGGGAAATTCATGTTTGGACCGTACCGCGCGCTGGCTCGGCGCGCGGCGTGTGTGGGTCTCCCCGACGCGGAACAACGCCGTTCCTACCCACTAAAACCCACCGGTACCCTCCTACGCCCATGTGGGAGCGTTTTAGGATCGGCGCACCTCTGTATGCGCCACTTCACTGGAACACGTCGATCTACCCCCCCCTTTTTTTTTCTGGTACGCTGGGGAAATGCATTGAATTGCATACCACGTGGTGCTTATGTGGGGCTCTCCTCCCCAGAAGGGGGAGGCCTACCCACTAAAACCCCAGCGATGGCCGCCATCAGGCATTGTACGGGGCCTCAAGATCGAGTATCGCATCTGAGGACCCGCAGCCTTTGTTCCCCTGCTTCCTCCAGGGGAGCCCTTCTCGGGGGAGTTCTCAATTGTCTAATTACTATGGATTTTGACGGTAAAACGTGATATATTGCAAATTGTAGTGCTTATGTTACGGAGGCAAGATTCTATATACAGGCACTGGGAAGCGGCGCGGAATATTTGTCTGCGCGTGTGCGTTGGCCCGCCCCGCCCCGCCTTCTACGCTACGCCTAATAGTAATTTGCCTTCTATGAGTACAGTCGTTACTGGAACATTGGGAATATAATAAGTGCTGTTACGGTACCTGAGTCGACGACATGCTGCCACGTTGGGAAGCGGCGCTTGACTCGCAGCGACACCCGCTGCAACGTGATCACGTATGCCAGGATCATGTACCGCACGATATTGCGCCGCATCAGCCGTCCCGTCTCGTCCTGTAACAACGAACAACTTTTTTTTACACTATGCTAAGCGACATTTAGTTTTGTATCCCCACAAGCAGAGCCCGATTTAAGGCAGGACAGGCGGGGCGTGGGCTAGGGGCGCCTACAAGAGAGGGGCCCAAACGTAAGTGGTCCAACCAGCCCAGTTTTTTCTGTTGCCGTTGCCCCAGGGGCCCCACACCTCTAAATCCGGCGCTGCACACACGACATGGGGTACAAATCTGCACGGCCTTTGGTGAAGCCTGGATCAATATTGCTAACATTATAGAGCAGTTGCGATCTTACAGTACGCGGTAGGAGAGACTTCACTTCTGCGTCAAAATTCAATATAGAATGGGGTGTTAAAGAAAATAGGATTGCAGTGATCGCCTTGCACAAAATGGGTATGGAGCCGTCGGTCATATTCCAGACACTTCAAAAGCTTGGTATTAGCCGTATGTTCGTATATCGTACTGTCAACAGATATAACAACACTTCGTCTGCCAACGACCAGAAAATATCGGGGCGGCCTCGTGCTGTTAGAACTACAAAGACTGTTAATGCTGTTAAAGTCAGAATTTGTCGAAACCCCATTAGGTTGCAAAAAATCTTAGCGCGAGAAATGAAGATTCAAACTTCCAATTATGGTCAGCTTTAGAGGACATGGCCTGCTCTAAAGGAAAACTGCTCTAAAAAAAATCTGGAGCAAGCAGTGGCGAAATTTCCCTCGGAAATAGTGCGTAAATCCATAGATTCGTGGCCAAACAGATTAATGGTCTGTATAAAAACCAAAAGCCATTTGGGAGAGGATTTTTTTTTTATTTTATGCTGAGACTTTAATAAATATGTAAGTATACATTTTAATAATATAACATTAATAATAATAGTGCATTTTAAAAAATGCATTGTTATTTGTAACAGAACTTATGGCTGGACTAGGTATATAGCTATAGAAGACTTACCTGAAACACAGGTTTACCTGGTTCAAGCTATAGTATAAGTTACATATGTTTTGTTATTTCTATCATTAATAATTATTTATTGTTAACTGAAATTCAATAAACATTTATTTATTAATATTCCTATAAAGCATAAGCAATGTAGATCGCATCGTGCATTACAAAATAAAAATTAAACCAATAAAATTGTCATGTCATTCACCGTGCTTGTTAGCGTTGCGTGTGTGAATTAACTATTTATTGTGTTATCTACATAAGGATATCATTTAAAAATTATATAAGATTTTTTTTATATTGAAAAATCGACAAGTTTGTGTAGAAATCGGGTGGGTCCTGGTATGAATTGGATGACGGACGGTATCAAGATTGAAGCACGTACCTATCCGTAATACCTTAGAAACGAAAATCTATTCCATATTTGAATCTTGGCCCCGCTACAATATCAATCTTTATATATATAATTCTTCTGTGAGTGTGTATGTCACTGAACTTCTCTTAAACGACTGGACCGATTTTGATGAAATTTTTTGTGTGTGTTCAAGGGGATCTGAGAATGGTTTAGATTCACAATTTTGTCCGCTGGACAACCCCTATTTTTTTAGGGCGGTACGAAGTTCGCTGGGTCAGCTAGTCTTTATATATATAATTCTTCTGTGTGTGTGTATGTCACTGAACTTCTCTTAAACGGCTGGACCGATTTTCATGAAATTTTTTGTGTGTGTTCAAGGGGATCTGAGAATGGTTTAGATTCACAATTTTGTCCGCTGGACAATGTTTTTTTAATTAATTTTTTTTATGGCGGTACGAAGTTCGCTGGGTCAGCTAGTATTAGTATATAAATGTGATCACCTACTGAATTATATTTTTATATGATCAAATGGCAACTATGGCAACGGACAAAAAAGATTCACATAGTTAAATTGGATCAAAATACTCGGATTAATCGGTGTACATACGAGGTTAAGCCGAGTAATAAATAAAAGTAAAAAGTTAAAAATAATCAAAAGTTTATTTACCTACAGACCTACAAAATAAGTATGAATCAGCTGACGGTTGTGTCGGAAAAACATAGCCCGCGTCCGCCAATTCCGTGCCATGCGATAAGGAACTTTGTACCAAAGGAAAAGAAATGAGAACCTCCTAATTATTGAATTCGGTTATTAATACGAATTCGATCGGCACTCGCCAGGCTGTTATCTAACTTGCAAATGATCAGCAACTAACGACGTACAACTTCTTATAACGTTTATAAACATCATACACACCAACTTTACCTTTCTCAACTACATTAGCGATTTGGAAACTTGTAGTTCATACATAATAAATACACACTAATTTATACACATATTATTAACTATTATAAACAAAAAAAAAGTTTGTTGTTATCTGCCGACAAACTGTGAAAAGCAATCGACCTTGATCGCGTCATAAAAGGATCTGTCGACCAATCACAAACGAATCGATGCGATGGCCGATGGCTTATTTGAAATAATTGCATTCCAAGAATACGTCACCTGAGCCATAGGACAATTCATCAGACGTACGGAGAAAGAAAAACAATTACCTATTACAATCCTACGTGAAAGGTTCAAGACGAATTTAGTCAGGCAAGTTACCAAGTATCAATATAAACACAACACAGCTGTTTCAATACGGCTCACCTCGATTGCCTTGCTAGTGTCGTACCTACACGTTTATTAGATAAGTAGGCACTGCGGATTTTTTTAAAGGCGTTCCTTCACCGGGAGCATTCACCTGTAAATCCGGTAAGGTAACATTTTACAATATTTATAATTTTATATAAGATTTTAGCATTACGATTTAATACTGCCTCCCTCTATCTATCTATCGAGCATTCACCTGTGATGTAACATTTTGAAATCGGTTTCGGGCGAGCGGGCGAAGGAATCATTCTTTAGTTCTCCTCCTTCAATGATGTAAGGGTGCGGCCAGAGTGCACTCAGATTCAGACTCAGATTCAGATTTCGAAAACAAGCGCGAGAAATAAACAGTGTAGTCTAAGCAGGTTGCTTGATTTTTCTCGCGCTTTGTTTTCTGAGTCTGAATCTGAATCTGAATCAGGAGTGCAATCTGGCCGTACCCTTCGACTACACTGTTTATTTCTCGCGCTTGTTTTCAGAATCTGAATCTGACTCTGAATCTGAGTGCACTCTGGCCGCACCCTAATGCTCTAATCTGTGACGTTACCTACATTACAAACCCTTATGTATAAAAAAATGCGAAAAAAAGCTATACATCCTATAAACAGAGAAAGGAAACGTTTCGGAGAATACCATCATTTATTTGTAAAAAAATTGAAATTTGATGAACAAAGATTTTATACATATACAAGAATGATTCAAGAAACATTTTAGATTTAGTGAAAAGCCGTTTGATGAAAAATTGGTGCAATTGGCATAAACAACCAATCCTTCCAGAAGAAAGACTTGTTGTCACCATTCGGTAAGTACGAAACAAATAATTTTAGCGCTTAGTTAATAAAAGATAAAGTTATTAGATTTATAAAAAGATTATAACTTAGATTGATTTAATCTAAGGATAATAATTCAAATACAAATTATTTATTATTCGGACCAGCGCGTGTCGGCGCTTATCGGCGCCGGTCCATAGAAAAAGGATCAGCGCCAATAGGCGCCGATAAGCGCCGATCGGCTTTCGGCTTTCTTTCTGTATACGGCCTATGATTGAAATTAAAAGATTAAGTGGTTAATATACAACTTTAAAGCATTGTAGATTCTAAACAATCATATAAAATGAAAAATGGTGTTAGGAACCTAAATATGATTTTCGATTATCTAGACAGTGTCACCCCACTCGACATATTTTGTCAATTTTTTTTTTACTTCGTCACAATATGGCGCCTAATTTTGCCCATATTGAATTTTGATTACTATCATATCTTTAGTAGCACTCCCATGATTGAGACGAATTGATTGATGTATGAATCATCAAAATCGGTCCAGGCGTTTGGTCTCTAGTGTGCCACAAAGGAACAAACATACATATATAGACTGTTAAACACATAACCCTGTCTGCGCGTCGCGCTTCGCGCTCTTACATTGCGCAGCCGGGTAAAAAACGAGATTGCTCATCTTCCATACATGTTTGGCCTAAAGAGCAATAATCATGAAAAATTCTTTCCCAGATTCGAAATTATATATAAATTACTGAAGAAACGAATATTATTGACGGACATCCCTGGGAACTTCTATAAACCATATACACTGAATGATTTTGAGGTTATATTTGCTTAGTAATAATTTAATTTTTGGTTTTAAAATTGGTTTACAATGGTAAAAGGTAATTTTAATGTAATAACATATGCATGATAGTTCTGATCAATGTGAAATATATTCATGATATAGGTAATTTAAATATTCTGATAACGTAGATTAATGAAATAAAACCACTTAAGTACTTTTATGTTGAGTTTATCATCACGATATTTTACATTTTTAGTGTATCACACGTTATAATGTGTTTATGGAGGTGTTTGGCGAATGGCGATGTCGCCTACCATCTATAATAATTGTCTGAGCACATTTGGATGTAGTGAAAATGATAATATAGTTGTGGATATTAATACCACAGTGTAATAAAAAAAATGTTTTATTTTATCGATCATTACAAAATAGATTTGTTTTGATGTTATTTAAACAACTTTGATCAGTCTTTGGCTGAATGCTACTACACCCAGAGCTATTCAAAATTATTCGTTTGTTTTCCAAACCGGTAAAATTAAAAGTCCTTTTTAAAATGAATATTTTATACAAAGGTGTCCGTTAAAATCTAATGACTGTAAAATAAAGTAAAAATTACGCCAAGAATTACCATACATGTCAATATTTTTTGTACATTTGGGCCAATTTGAGCAATCTCCTTTGCGGGATCCTGGACTGGACTGGTGGAATTACATAGAAGAGTGCATCATACGTGTCAAGTATTATACGCGCGGATGCGACGCGACGCGAAATATGGACTAATATAATCTGTGTAGTCTCTTAGGTTTTATGAAAATTTTTTTTCTTATTT